CTCCAATTGATAGATGGCCAAAGGATATGGACAGGTAGGTCTAAAGGGAAGAAGCCCAGACTATAACCATATGAAAAAAAGAAATGCTCCAAAACGCTAAAAATTAGAGAAATGCAAATTAAAGCAATTCTTCTGTTCCATTTTACACCCGTCCGTCTGGCAAAGATGATAAAAAGAAAAATGAAAAAAGTGACAAATATTGGAGGGAATTTGAGAAAACAGGCACATTGATAACTCTGTTGATGTCCAGCCATTGTGGATAGTAATTTGAAATTAATGTGCAAAAAGTTACTAAGCAGAGCATGTCCCTTGACACAGCTAAGCTTCAACTCCAAAAAAAGAGGAAAAGGTCTTATATGTACAAAAATATTTATGGCAACTCTTTTGTAGTGGTAGAAAACTGGAAACTAAGGAAATACTAACCAACTGGGGAATGGCTGAGCAACTTGTGGTATGTGAATGTAGTGGAATATTACTGTGCTTTAAGAAATGAGGGTAAAAAATTATTTCAAAGAGACATGGAAAGACTTCTGTAAATCAGTGGAGAGTGAAGTGAGCAGAACCACAAGAACAATTAATACTATAACAACAGTATTTACAAAAGGAACAATTTTGAAAGACTTTGAAACTCTGATGAACTAAATGATCAGTCATAATTTCAAAGAACTGATAAAGAAGAATGATGCCCAATTCATGACAAAGAGATCACGGACTAACATGTAGAATGAAAAATTCATTTTTGGCTGTGAACAACATGGGAATATGTTTTGCTTGACTATGCTTGGTAATATAGGAACTTTTGGAGGGGGGCAGAAGAGGAAGATGGGAAAGAAAAAAATGCTCTATAATTTGAAAAGATTAAAAATTTTGAAGAAAATAGTTTCTGATTATTTTTTGTACTTTAGTTGTTCATTGTAAATTTACCTTGTTCATTTTTTTATTTTGGAGATTGCATTTTCCTCTTCCACCCTCAGTAAACTGAAAGTTTAACAATTTTAATGATTTCAAAGACATTCCTTTTGAAAAAACTAGTTCTTGCTTTTGCTATTTTTAGAACCTCTCCTTCATTTTATCTCTTTCTTCTAATTTTCAAATATTTCTGCTTTTCTTATTAGAGTTTTTGATTTGTTTTAAATTTAGATTTCTAGTTTTTTTTTTAAATTGCATGCTTGGTTCATAAAATCTCACTTTTTCTATTTTCTTTATGGTATACTTTCATGGATACAACTTTTTTTCATGAGGACAGCTTTGGCTGCATCCCCAAAATTCATAATAATCTCCAGCATTTATATAGCACTTAAGGTTTGAAAAGCCCCTTATATATGTTATTTCATTGATCATCACAGCAACCCTGAAAGGTGAGTGCTGTTGTCATTCCTCTCCTTTGCCTTTAAAAATAAAAATAAAAATAAATACACACACACACACACACACACACACACACACACACACACATACACACACGAAGAAATCGAGGCTGAGAGGTTAAGTAACTTGCCCAAGGGCCTACTAAGGATTTAAAAGATCTTCTCAACTCTAAGTCCAATACTCCAGCCACTAGGCTGCCTAGTGGCCTCTATGATCTCTGTTATTATTTTCTTTTATACAGTTAATAGTTGTTTCTATAATTTGTTCAATGATTTACTCAGCATTCACAATGTCATTATTTACTGCCCATTTAGGTCCATTTCTTTTGCTTGGACATTGCATTACTTATCATTTTTATTGAGTTATGATCTATAGGATGAGGCAGCATGGTGTAGTAGACAGAATCAGGAAGAACTGGGATTCAAGTCCTGGCTCTGATGTACACATTGGCTGTGTGACTCTGAGCAAGTCATCTTACCTCTTATCACCTCCAAATAGCTCTTCTGCTGGTTTTATTGTTGTTTCAGTCATGGCTATCTTTCAAGACCCTATTTGAGGTTTTCTTTGCAAACATACTGGAATGGTTTGCCATTTCCTCGTCTAGTTCATTTAACAGATGGAGAGAGCACGGGGCTGGAGTCAAGACCTGAATTCAAATACTACCTCAGACGCCAGCTGTGTGACCTTGGGCAAGTCATTTAACCTTTGTTTGCTCAGTCCACTGGAGAAGGAAATGGCAAACCAATCCAGTATCTTTGTCAAGAAAACCCTATGGATAGTATGGTCCACAGGGTCACAGAGTTGGACAGACTCAACAACAACAACGCCAACATTATGATCGTGAGATTTGTGTTTGTCTCCATTTTTTGGAGGGGGAGGGGATTGGGGGAGCACAGAGCTCTGAGCTGAGGGGAGGAACAGGGGAGAGAGAGCACAGTACTGGACAGTAAAGTTAAGATAGTTTTTTTTAAGGGGGGTGTAGATTTCTTCCATAATTCTTTATGTAAAAATCACATTTGCATAATGCAAATTTACATAAAGCAAGAACTGCTTGTATCATATTCCAAGCCCTCAACTCCTTTAACATGGAAGCTGCTAAAGCTTGTGTGAGCTTTATTCAATTTTTATAACAATTTTTGAATTGTTTCTTTCTAGTTACTTGAAATATTTCCTCCTTGACCTGGGAGCTCTGGAATTTGGCTATACTATTCCTGGGAGTTTTCATTTTGGGATCTCTTTCAGGAGGTGATAGGTGGAATCTTTCACTTTCTATTTTACCTTCTGGATTTAAGAGATTAGTACAGTTTTGCTTGATATTTTGGCATATGATGTCTAAGCTCTTTTCTTGATCATGGCTTATATTATCTCTCTTTGATTTATTTTCCAGGTTAGTTATTTTTCTGATGAGATATTTAATATTTTCTTCTATTTTTTCATTCTTTTGACTTTATTTTATTATTTCTTGATGTCTCATAAAGTCATTAGCTTCCACTTGCCCAATTCTAATTTTTATCTTTTTTTTTTTTTTGCTTTTTGGTGAGGCTATCGGGTTAAGTGACTTGCCCAGGATCACACAGCTAGTAAGTGACATGTGTCTCAGACTGGATTTGAACTCATGTACTCCTGACTCCAAAGTCAGAGCTCTATCCACTGTGCCACCTAGCTGCCCCCCAATTCTAATTTTTAAGAAATTATTTTCTTCAGTGAGCTTTTCTGCCTCTTTTCCTATTTAGCCAATTCTGTTTTTTTAAGGTGTTATTTTCTTCACTATTTTTTGTCTCTTTTACTAAGTTGTTAATTCTCTTTTCATAATTTTCCTGTAATGCTCTCATTTCTTTTCCCATTTTTTTCCTCTAGCACTCTTATCTCTTTCTTGAACTCTTTCAGGAATTTTTGTTGGGCTTGTGTCCAATTAGCGTTTTCCTTTGAGGCTTTGCTTGTAGCTGTTTTCATATTGTTGTCTTCTTCTGAGTTTGTACTGGTCTTCCCTGACACTGTAGTAGCTTTCTATGGTCAAGTCCTTTTTTCATTCTTGTTGTTGTTCATTTTCCCCAGTATATTTCTTGATTCCGAACTTTATGTTAAAGTTGGTCTCTGCTCCCCTGGGGGTGGGAAGGCACTGTTCCAAGCTTCAGGCTTTTCTGTTCCATTTTCAGAGCTAGTTCTGGGGGCCTGCAAGTTTTTGGTGCATCCAAGGTAGTGTGATCTGGGGAGAGATGTGGTCGCTGCTCTTCTTTGCTCCCTGCTCCCCTACGGCTGCTAGTGGCCCATGCTGCCTTGGAATTGGGATCAGGGCCCCTGCTCCCATGTGACTGACCTCAAGCACTTCTCTTTGTCCTGGAACTTTGACCCAGAACTACATATGGGCAATAGAGTTGCCAGTTAGTAGTAGCCGTACCAAGTGCCAGTCATGTGGTCCCCTGTAATCTGTTTCTGATCAGTTGTCTGACTCCTTTCCCATCTCTGGGATGAGAGCTCCTGAGGCTGCTGCTGCAGCTACTTACAAGCCCCTTGTTCTTTCTTTAACTCAATTTTTAAAAGTCTTGTTTTGTCCCATAAGCACGAGGAAATTAATTTCATTGTTTACTCTTTTCTTCATAATCATATTCATTTGCCTTTCTTTTCTTTTCGTAATTTGGAGTAATTTCAAGTTGAATACTTTAGTAGTCTCCTGTCTTTTGGAAGAATGACTTTCTTTTGTTGAAGATCCACTTTTTTTTTTCAATTGATGATTAGGCTCAGCCTTGCAGTATATCATTTTGGGTGCTGCTGTTGTGATTAGCCTTCATCTATATGAGCCCACTGTTTCAGTAATAGGCCATAGCTTGCAAAGTCAATTTGTCAAATTCTAGTGGGGCCAGAAGTGCCACAGCTATTTTCTTTTGTGTCCTCCATTGATAATAGATAAAAGTGCAGAGGCACAGTTGGGACAAAGTGTTCCTTGTATTAGCCAGGGACTGTTTCCAGGTTACCATTCCAATGAGTTTTATGAACATGTAACTAACTTGAAGATTGAGAAGCAATTTTTTCAAAGATTACAATTATAATTTCACTATAAACAAAGGATTAAATTTTTCAAGACTAGATTCAATAACCACTCCTCTAGAGTCCAAGGATACTGTTATGGGGTGGAATATTAGGAAGGGACAGAAGAACTGTCACTTGTGATGGATACTAGGACAAGAGACTAAAGAGAAAACATGTTAAACTTCTTTCCTGAGAAAAATGATTAATTCATAATCTTGTGAAAAGAATTTTTAAGAAAAACTCTAGCCCTTATCTGGAAAAAACTGAATGATAGGAATGTTTTCAGAGTGATGGTTAGTGGTGACTGATTTCACAGCCAACATATAGGAGATATTGTCTTGAGGACTTAGAGCTAATTGACAAGTTACTAAAATTTCAACGTCTCTCATTAATGAGACAATATCAACACTATTGCCTTAGAATCCAAGAGGAGAATGAATAAAGGGAATGAGTCACATAGGCTAAGAAGTGGAAGTTCAGAGTGGTTAACACCACCAAGTGGATGCACCTGAGACCCACATGAGGTCAGAGCCTCTAAAACCCTGTTACATATATTGCAATGATATACTGGAAATTACAGACAAAAAAAGAATTCCCTCACCATATTACTGCATGCTACATAGTTCTTTATTCCAGTTTGGTTTTTATGACATATGTGTTATTATACACAATAATTAAAATAATCAAAAAGAGTAAGAAAATAAATAAGATATCCTGGTTTACAACCCAAAACTGGTTTATGTGAAGCTGTTAAACAAAAAGACCAACTGAACATTTTGTAAATTAAATGGTTTACATCAGTGAGGAATATTAGGGTTCACAGTCACCAGAGTCTTCACCAGTCTTCCTAACATATAGATAATCCTACCAATCTACTCATCTCATCTTACAGAATGTCTGCAAAAGGCTTAAGCAGCTCTGTGGAGAATGCCACTATCTCAGAATGAACCATTTTTACAATAACAGTAGAATAAATTTTTCTTGATTTGTCTATTAGATTGTGAGCTCCTCCATTATACTATGAGCTCTTTGAGGGCAGGGACTGTATTTTTGCTTCTTTTTGTTATCTCCAGCACCTGACAGGTGCTTAATAAATATTTATTGATTCAGATTAACTAATTTTTATTTGTACACAGTGAGAATCAGAGAGTCTTAGAAGGAAAGGCAAAGAAAAAAATCAGAAGATGGACCATGATTTGAAATTTCAGTTATCTGCATACTAAATATCCTCCCTTGAGAAACTAGAGTTCAGTGTTTTATGTTGATAGAGAACACTGCAGGTACTTTAAATAACCACCAGAGGGCATATGGCGGACAACAGTTTGGCAATACTGAGAAACCTCAGTTTTGAAGGGGCTCTTTCTGCTTTTGATAACCCTTTTAGCTCGAATGTTCTCACTGTGAGTTTGAGCTCAAGCATCTCTCCCATCCTGCTTATCTTTGTAGTTAGCAGAACTGGGTCTGAAAGACCACAAAATAGGAGTAGGATCTACCAGATAATTTTAATAAGAGTAAGTCAGCAACATTTATAGAAGGAAAGATTCATATGGTATGAAGACTATTTTCTCCAAATTTTTTGTAACTTAGATTTTTTTTGTTGGAGGGTAAGTCATTGGGTGTAGATTTAGAATACTATCCATTTTCCACACAAATGGCTCTTTTCCCATCAAAACTGATCTTTACTGTAATCCAAAGAATCTACTGTATAATTTAAATATTCTGTGTTTTGGACCAGTCTTTGGTAGACTAATGTTGCACTAGATACATTAATATTTATATTGTTACACAAAATTCTTTGACTCAAAGATCAGAATTAGTGATGTTTAAAGCATAGTAATAGATAGAAAAAGAATTGGTTTTAAGTGCAAATAGATATTGCAATTCATAGGAAGAACTTGAACATTTAACCACAAAACAATACAAAGCTACTTTAGAGATAAAGGTAAGTCAGAAATACTGTTATGGTATAAGACAAATACACACTGATTTCAGGAGCCAACCTATGTCAATGTGTTAGAAAGTGCCAAGTTTTTGATCAGCAGATCCAGGAATGTTTTTAGCCATTGCTGTGATCTGTAAGCAACAAGTCCACCCTTATTGGCCCATCGATCTATACCAGTAGCACCTTGATTGTCCACATTGTACAACAAGTGTGGCAAATCAAGCCCAGTTTCTGGGTTTCTTTTTAAGCACTCCCTCAAATCCACCATTCCTCCACCAATTGACTTCAATATGGCATGCGCAGCACAGGAGTCCCATTTGAATGTGGTATCCTCCGAAAAGATGTAGACATCAACAAGACCTTGTACAACACAAAGGCTCTTGTATCCAGCTCCAGCTGCCCCATACACATTTTCACCACATATATTGGATAGGGCTGTTTTGATGGTGTCCTTTTCGCTTGCACTAATGATGGCAGAAAAGTGCTTGGTGAATTTAGGTTCACAGCTGGCCTCTTCAGTCAGCTGGCTGGCTGCTTCACCATCATTTCCATTCTCATTGGAAAGCTGAAGTGAATGAATGTTGGAATCCATATAAGAAAGGCCCCAAAAGTACTGTCCTTTCCACCTGTGAAAAAGAAATGCAAGTGATTTTCCCTCTTCATTTGTTTTTTTCCCAGATGACATTAGTTTTTCATTGTAAATATACATACATATTCTTCACTACTTTTGCCACAGTTATTTTAATGGGCCTTAAAACCTTTATCTTGCACTGAAGTCCTATTCTAATGCCTCATCATGTCATGGAAGTAATCTTGGGCTTTAAATTGCTACCTTTGTCATGTCCATGATAGCACAAAAATGTTTTAGGAACATTGATCTGCCAGGTGATTATATTATTAATACTATAAAAATTCTAGCACCATTTTGGGGGATATGAAATCAAGTACAAAAATTAAGATGAACGAATAAAGTTATGTCTAACTTAAGGATGGCTTCTAGCTCTTGCTTAAATTTGTCATGGTTTTAGTAACTCTGCTTTATCTTCCTTTACTCTCCAGTTCTACTCTCTTTGATGGCACAAATAGCAGAGGTTATAAATCTTTGGAAGTAGCTGTCTGGGAATAATCATCATTGTACCTAGTCCCAATACTTTGTCATTTAAAATATTTAAAGTAGTGGTCATTGAAGAAGGTAGAAAATTTTTTTTAATCATTACTTTTGGTGTTTTTATTTTTGATGGGGGTTAATTACTGCTACACGATAAAATGGACATTCATTTATTAAGCACCTATTATGTGTCAAGCACTAAAGATACCAATAAAAGAGTGAGATAGGCACTGTCCTCAAGAAGTTTAAATGCAGCTAAGAAAAAATTTCAAGAAAGTCAATTTCTTCAGAGGGAAAACAGTCTGTACAGGAAAAATAGCTTGAATTATTAAAATGAGAGTCAGCATGGTATAGTGGCTAGTGAGCTGGCCTCAAAGCCAGAAAGACCTTGGTTCAAGTCCTAACTCTGATGCAAACCGGATGATGACACTGGTCTGTTATTTTATGCTCTAGACAACTCTATAAAAAGCTCCAAGATGCAGTGAAAAGTTGGCAGAGGGACTTTTCTCACCTAGTACTTCCTAAACCGATGAAATGACACGTTTAGTCCCTATCCTTATTATGAAAATGAAAGAGTTTGGTTGGGCCACTGGCTACAGTGTCTGTGGCAGGGAAGAGAAGCCCTACTCTCTATTCCTGTTTATTCCAAGAGAGCCCTGAGTAGAGATTAGTAAGACAACAAAGGGGCAAGCTAGGTGGCGCAGACCATCCCTGCCTCAGACCAAATACTTGACAGTTACTAGCTGTGTGACCCTGGGCAAGTCACTTAACCCCAATTGCCTAAAAAAAAAATGGGACAAAAAGACAACAAGGCAACAAGCATTTATTGTGTGGCAGAGTGGAGTTTTGATTTAGTTTGCAAAGACATTTTTAAATGACACAAAGCCTCAGGCAATGCTCTGGAACTCCCAGTATAGTTCAAGACTACATGGAAATCCTTGGGTCACTCTTTTTAATTCACTTTCTAAGGGTCCTAGATTTATTCCAGAATAGCAATTTCTTATTTTGATTGTTAAAAATGTCTGATCCATAAGCTCCATGTCAGCTAGGGCAAAGGTGGATGGAGAAACAAAATGTACAGTGTTTACAATAAGAAATGCAGTTCCTGTTCTTTTCATTTCTTAAAAATGACTTGAATTAACCATATTTCTTGAAGCCATTAAGAAAAGTTCAACTGGTTGTCTATTTAATGATATTCTTCAAAACACATTTAGGAACTAGGAGGCAATATTAATAATAATAACAATAATGATAGGTAGGATTTCTATGGAGCTTTAAGGTTTGCAAGGTACTTTACAAATACTCTCATTTTATCCTCACAACCACCCTGGGAGATGTAGGTGTTACTATTATCCTCATTTTACATATGAGAAAACTTAGGCAGATAGAGGTTAAAGTGACTTGCCCAAGGTCACATAGCTAGTAAGTGTCTGAGGCCAGATTTTACTCAAATCTTCCTGACTCCAGGTCCATCACTCTACCCACTGTACCACCTACCTGTGGACATTATTTTAATAGTGATATTTGATTCTATCTAATCTTGGTATAAGTGTACTTAAGAAAACAGGGCACAGGATTGATGTTCTCTAAGACTCCAAATTAAAAATCCTGATTCTTTAGGTGCAGAACTTAATGTAACTGGAAAATGTCAATTTTTGGTCTGACTAGATAAAGAATTGGCTTAGGAAAAATAAAAATCATCCTTTCAAAAATTAACATAGGCCCCACCTTATTTAAAATTTTATATTGAAAAACTTTTGGCAGAAACATTCCAATATAGTTCAGTAATTGTAATGAAATATAAAGAGAGAAATGATTTTAGAAAATTTCTGAGTTAGAAGGGATTCTCTGGATTCTCAAAGATCTAGTCCAGGAGTGGGGAACCTGCTGGCTTCGAGGCCACATATGGCCCTCTGGGTCCTCAAGTGCAGCCAATTCTGGATTTAGTCAAAGGGATGCACTTGAGGACCTAGAGGGCCACATGTGGCTTTGAGACCGGTAGGTTCGGTACCCCTGGTCTAGTCCAACTCCCTTATTTTATAAATGGGGATAGTCAGGCTTAGAAAGTCATTTAGGAAAGATCACCGAAGTTGGCAAAGCTAGGGTTAGAACCCATTTCTTGGTGTCCAGGTCTGGCGCATCTTAAAAGATAGCTACGTCTGAGAGTATATAAGTTCTGACAATTCTGATGCCCAAAACCAATTCTTCTTTTACCTGAGTGTTTTTACATCTTGTGATGCAAATGGTTGATTGATGACTCCAATCAATGGCACCCCTGTTTGTCTATCATAGACACCAATTAATATAGTAACACACTGAAGTCCACATGGAAATATTCCTTGATTGGGCTTGATGTCAGCGGACCCTTTTATGTATTGATAAGTAGAGTCTAAAAATAAATTAAAATGGTCATTATTCAGATAAAGCTTAATTAGGATGGTGATGACCCCATTTTTTCTCCCCCTTTATACTCCTATGGCACTTACGGGTCCTTGTCTTAATCTTCTTACCCCTCTTCTACTTATGTCTTCAACTGTTCCTTAATTTATTTGTATTCATATATTATTTCTCTAACTAAACTGAAAACTTGGGTGAAGCAAGGACATCCATTATCACCACTATTATTCACTATTGTACTAGAAATACTAGCTAAAGCAATAAGACAAGAAGAAGAAGTTGAAGGAATAAGAATAGGAAACTAGGAAACAAAATTATTGCTTTTTGCAGACAATATGATGGTATACCTAGAGAACCCTAGAGAATCACCTAAAAAACTAGCTGAAATAATGAACAACTTTAGTAAAGTTGCACTATGTAAAATAATCTCATATAGATCATCAGCATTTCTACATATTACCAACAAAACCCAGCAGGAAGAGATAGAAAGAGAAATTCTATTTAAAATAACTGTAGACAATATGAACTACCTGCCTAAACAAACCCAGGAACTGTAAGTACATAATTACAAAACACTTTTCACACAGAAAAAGACAGATCTAAACAGATGGAGAAATATTAATTGCTCATGGGTAGGCTGAGCCAATATAATAAAAATGACAATTATACCTAAATTAGTTTACTTATTCAGTGCCATACCAATCAAACTACCAAAGAATTATTTTATTGATTTAGAAAGAAACACCAAAATTTATCTGGAAGAGAAAAAGTCAAGAACGTCAAGTGACTTGATCAATGAAAAAAAAATATGAAGAAAGGCAGCCTAGCAGCACCAGATTTCAAACTATATTACAAAGTGGCCGTCATAAAAACAATCTCGTACTGGCTATGAAATAGAGTGGTGGATCAGTGGTGTAGATTAGGTACACAGCATATAGTAAATGACCATTGTAATTTAGTGTTTGATAAACCCAAAGATCCAAGCTTTTGGGGTAAGATTTCACTATTTGACAAATATTGCTGGGAAAAATAGAAAGCAGTTTGGCAGAAACTAGGTACAGACCAATATCTCACACTGTATACTAAGATATGATCAAAATGGGTACATGATTTAGACATAAAGGGTGATATCTTAAGCAAATTAGGGGAGCATGGCAAAATTGGAAAAAATGGAAAAATCAAATCTATGGATAAGGGAAAAGTTTATAAACAAGAGATAGAGATCACAGAAATTAAAATGGAGATTTTTGATTGCATGAATATAAAAGTTTTTGTACAAACAAAACTAATACTGCCAAAATTAGAAGGAAAGCAGGAAACTGGAGGGGAAATTAACAGCAAGTCTCTCTGATAAAGGTCTCATTCCTCAAATACAGAGGGAACTGGACCAAATTTATAAAAATAAGGGCATTCCCCCAATTGATAAATGGTCAAAGGATATAAACTGACAGTTTTTAGAAGAAAAAAACCTAAGTTGTCAATAGTCATATAAAAAAATATTCTGAATCACCATTGATGAGAGAAATACAAATTTTAAAACTCTATGGTATCACTTCACACCTATCAGATTGACTAGCATGACAGAAAAGGAAAATGACAAATGGTAATGGGGATGTGGGGAAAATAGGTACACCGATGCATTGCTGGTGAAGTTACAAGCTAATCTAGCCATTCTGGGGAACAATTTGGAACTATGCTCTTTTTTTTTTTTTGGTGAGGCAATGGGGGTTAAGTGACTTGCCCAGGGTCACACAGGTAGTAAGTGTCAAGTGTCTGAGGCAGGATTTGAACTCGGGTCCTCCTGACTCCAAGGATGGAGCTCTATCCACTGCACCACATAGCTGCCCCTGGAACTATGCTCAAAGAGCTATAAAACTGGGCATACCCTTTAATCCAGCAATACTACTACTTGATTTATATCTCAAAATGATTAAAGAAAAAAGAAAAGGACCTATATGTAAAAAGATATTTATAGTAGCTCTTTTTTTGGTGGCAAATAATTAAAAATTGAGGGAATGCCCATCAGGGAATGGCTGAACAACTAGTGGTATATGATTGTGATGGAATACTATTGTGCTATAAGAACTGACCAGGGGAATGGTTTCAGAAGAACCTGGAAAGACTTATATGAACTGATACAAAGTGAAGTGATCAGAACCAGGACAACAATGTACATAGTAACAGCAATAATGTAATGATGACTAACTGTGAAAGACTTCATTACTCTGATCAATAAAAAGATCTAAGACATTCCAGAAGATTCACAAAGAAAGATGCTATCTGATGAATTCTAAGTGCAGATTGATGCATACTTTTTTCACTTACTTTATTTTTCTTACTTTTTTTTGCAACATGGCTAATATGGATTTTTTTTTATGACTTCACATGTATAATTGATATCATATTGCTTGTCTTCTCAATGGGTGGGAGAGGGGCTTAAGGGAAGGAGAGAATTGGGAACTACTAAACTTTTTAAACAATAATATTAAAACAAATTATAATTATTTCAAAAATAAACTGTACATTCTTTGTAAACAGGTACTGTATTATACTTATCTTTTCTCTCCCCCACCTTTTTTTTCCACCTTAAACTTATTTTTATCCTTTCACAGAGACAGCAGTACTTATATTTTTTCCTTTTACTGGACCTGTGATTTTTACCTAGGGAATTAACTCCTTCTATAATGAAAACCAGCAAATCCTCTGTAACTTCAAGTCTTAGGGAGGTGCTGGGAACACTGATAACTTAAGTGACTTGCCCATAGTGACATAGCTAGTATGTGTCAGAGGCAAGAAGTAGACGTCTTCCTGACTCTGCCTCAGTGCCTCTCTCAATGTTGAGCTATTTCTTGTACTTAATAACATAAAACTTCTAATATGTTAGAAAACTTTGTGTTTTAAAATCAGCCCAACACTGAAAGAAGTTACGAAAAATAATACTAATATCCTACAATTATTATAAAAACGGGTGAAGGAGAGAAGTAGGAAGAGTTAATAGTATTTTCACCAATGTTTTATGGTCATGAGAAATCATGGCATAGTGAATAGAGAACTGGTCTCAGGCTCAAGAAGACCTGGGTTCAAGTTCTGCTTCTGACACATATTGGCCATGTGGCCTTAGTCACTTTTCCTCTCAGTCTCTGGGAGGTTCTGTTAAGATTTTAATTTGCAAAGAAGGCATGTACCTGCTCTGATAGATGGAGTTTCCTCCTCTGGGTACTATACAAATGAAATCACAGAGCCAGTCTTTATTACATGATCATAGACTAGACTCCCTATGCGGCATGTTATGAAATTCATTTGGGAATGGAGAAGATCACTCTATGCCCCCTTTACTTGGTATTAATAGAATAGCAATGTGTTTATTATAAGATAGGGATCCACCACCACCCCCTTACCTATAGGATCCACCCACATTCCCATGATATCTTGTGGAATGTTGATTTTCACCAAATCCAGAGCTGGGTCAGCAAATGCAATATCTTGATGGACAGCTTGGGCCAGGGCTTCAGATGCCAACTTGTTACCATTAAGAACCTTACTAAGAAGTTCTGCAGTTTCTTCTTCTGTTGGACATATTTTAACTGTGATCTTTTCTCCTAAAACACACATGAAAAAGCATTATATTCTAAACTCAAAAAATAATAAACGACATTATATGCTCTTAAGTGGGCAGGGGCTTATCCATCCCGTGGTGGCACAGTAGGTAAGAGCTCTGGACTAGCAATCAGGAAGACTGTAGCTCAAAACCTACTCACTGGCTATTATGGGACAAGGCAAGTAAGTTAACCACTCTTAGCCTCAGTTTCATCATCTGTAAAATGGAGATATTAATAGTACTTATCTCACAGGGTTATTGTGAGGTTTAAATGAGGTAACACATACATAGCTCTTTGCAAACCATAAAGTGTCATATAAATGTTACTTATTGTTCTGCTAGTTATTATCTCCTAGAAGTTTTATCAGAGGCCTCTGTGTTAAACAACTTTTTTTTTGCCTTTTCAGCTTTGTCTTATTCCAGTTTTTGAGGTTTGATAGTTTTCAGTCATCTGAATATAAGCTATACGTCAAAAAAGATAGTTGGTTTTTATTTTATCCAACATGAGTGTACATAGCAATTATTTCAGTTCTGGCCTGAAACTCTGAGAGTCTTCTCCTCACAGACTGATTCTTTTGTGAAGGCAAACCCGGCCATCTTTTGCTTCAATTCTTACCTAGCCTTTAACTACCAAGTTGGCATTGCCTCAGACAAACTGAGACCTGGGAAAGACCTTAGCTTAAAAAGGCCAACGTCTCCCTCTGCATCTGGCGCCATCACCTATGTTTTGCCACCGGCCTCCAATGACTATGGGGAGAGAGTGAGGCTGATGACTTTGCACAGTTCTGCCTCACTAAAATCCAATTCACTTGCAAGTCAAGTCATCACCTTGCTGATATCCTTGGTCCTCTTCAAGAAAGGACGAACAGCATCCACCACTGAATTGGTCATGATTATACAATAACATGTATTTACGTAGCACTTTAAGGTTTGCAAAGCACTTTACATACATTGTCTTATTTGGTCTTATCTCCTTTTTACAGACGAGGAAACAGAGGAGTAGTGACTTGCCCGACGTTACACAGCTAATAAGTGACTGAGGCAGGATTGGATCCCAGGTCTTCCTGCCTCCAGGTTTAATACCTCACACACAAACTATCCCACTCCTAGGAAATAAGAATGTAATAGCAAAGAAACGTTCATCCTTAATAGTTCAGAGATGAGGAGATGGTACACTGGTTTTTATATTTATCTAAATACATACAGCAACATCATACTCAGCTGAACATGGCAAAGAATGACGAAGTGGTGAAAAGTGTCAAAATACATGTGTGTAAAGGTCATACAACTTAATCCACAAAAGTCCATCAATCATAGTATTTCCACTCACCTTAAAACAAGCTTATCTTTGTTTATTTTGGTTTTGAAACAATCTTATATGGTTTCCCACTTCATTTCAGCTTATAAGAAGCAAATTGGTACACCATACTACTGTTTGTATGTAGAAGAAATATGTTGGTTTTCGAGAAAGATGGTTAGACTATGAGACTGATTGTGTTTCTTAAGATAGATGGAAATATTCATTGTGAAACTGCATAACTAAATAATTGTTGGTAATATAGTATACCTAGAAAGGGGTGTGATGGAAAATTGAAAGGTAAAAGGAATAATTTCATTTAAATGATTATCATTTCAAGGGCTTAAAATAAGCCAGACATAGTGATTTTTGTTGTTGTTCAGTCATTTCAGTTGTGTCCTACTATCCACGACTGCATTTGGGGTTTTCTTGGCAAATATACTGGAGTGGTTTGCCAGTTCCTTCTTCAGCACATTTTATAGATGAGGAAACTGAGGCAAACAGGGTTAAGTGACTTGCTCAGGGTCACACTGCTAGTACTGGATTTGAACTCAGGTCTTCCTGACTCTAGGCCTGGTACTCTACCTATTATACCACCAAGTTGCCTGTAGGCATGGAGATACATGCCTGTAATCCCTGATGAGGCTGGCAGATCTCTTGAGCTCACTTCGCAGCCTGGAAAGTACCTCCTTACTTAGTCTATTAAAAGAAAAAGTGCTCAAAGTAGATTCAGTTCATGATAGAACATGAAAGTTCTGTGATTTTATAAACATGGGGAACTTAGAGTGTGAGAGTCCCTCTGCCCAAATAGATTGTGACCCGTCTAGATGTGGGCCAGGAGTTGCCCTAAATGGAGGATAAATGACTTGCCCAGGGTCTCATAGTTAGTAAGTGGCAAAAGAGATTTGAACCTAGGCTTTCTTGAAAAATAAGACCACCATGGTATAAGCTACATTGCTATCTCTATTTTCATAGTGTACTGTAATCTATGTGCTTTCATCTAAAAATAAAGTATGCTCATAAAGATAACAATGAATAAATTAATTTGGCATTATCAATCCAGAGAAGTGTGAATTACTGTCTATTATATTTCTATGGAGGTAAATAATAAGTATATAACTACTGTCTAAAAGCTCCATTTTGCATTTTTTCACTGGAGATGTAACAAAATAGAAGATTCAAATGTTATATTCATAAGGGAAAAAACCTAAAATACTCTTTGACAATTAAGTTTAAAGAATACACATGAATATTCTCATACTCACCTAACTCATTAGTAAATTCATTGGATTCTTCTCCATATATATGATTCTCCAAGCCTGGAAACTGAATTGATTGAGGATAGGGGTGGAGGGAGGGAGGAAAGGTTGACACAAAAACAGAAATTCACATGTTGAGTTTTGAACAGATTAATTTTGTCTTCTAAATTCAACACATAAATTGTGAAAATTCAGAGACTGCCCCTGATATCAGTTCAGCTATGAAAGGACAACTCGATTTAGAACCTAATTTTCTAGTTCATGCCTAAAAGTTCACATCCTTCCCCCCAAAAAGTATAAATTTATTTTCCTCCCTGTGTGTCCCTCTTCATTTGCAAAAGTCCTAGTAGAATTCCCAGATATCATTTAATCACAATCCCACCTTTTACTTACAGATCACTAAGAGTATGATTGCTGCTTTATGGTGTGAATTGATACCTTAGTGGCTGGAAAGTAAATAGTACTCAAGTGATTAGTGGGCAGGGAAGGTACTAGTGATTTTAGGTTTTGTTTTCATTTCAAGCGGTGATTCTCAGCAGCTTAGAGGCTTTATTAGCATTTGGACCGGGATATAAGAGTTGCCCAAAATAAGGGGGACTGAAATAGAAAAAAGTATCGAAAATAAAGGAAATTGTTGTTCAGTCATTTTTCAGTTATGTCCAACTCTTTGGAACCCTATTCAGGGTTTTCTTGGCAAATATACTGAAGTGGTTTGCCATTTCCTTCTCCAGTTCATTTAACAGATGAGGAAACTGAGGCAAATAGGGTTAAGTGACTTGCCCAGGGTCACACACCTAGTATCTGAGGCCAGATTTGAACTCATGAAGATAAGTCTTCCTGATTCTAAGCCCAGTGCTCTTTATTCACTGTGCCACCTAGCTGCCCAAAATAAGGGAAATATTCTATAATTTTAAAAAAGGCCACTTTGATAGATAATGAATAAATCAGTTCCAACAAAATTTGGCAGTTGTTCCTATGGAGCATGGACATTTATCTTGGAGTAGAAATTTTACACTAGAAAAGATAAGTTTTCTCTAAGTATATGCCAAATTGTATTATAGATTACCCCCTTGAAGATATAAAGCAAAATTATTTTATTAACTCATTTTCACCATCTATGGACTAGATGATACTAAAATTTTAATCTAATAATTGCACTGACAGGCAATAGGGACATTAGTCTATAGCAGCACTCATTTTTCCATTGGCTTTACTGTCTTAGCCATAAGGGTAGCTACTTGGTTATTTATCAGTGTCGTTGTAGTCATTTCAGTCACGTCCAACTCCTTGTGACCCCATTTAGTGTTTTCTTGGCAAAGATACTGGAGTGGTTTGCCAATTCCTTCTCCAGTTCATTTTACAGATAAGGAAACTGAGGCAAACAGGCTTAAGTGACTTGCCTAAGGTCACAAAACTAGTGAGCGTTTGAGGCTGGATCTGAACTAAGGTCTTCCTGACTTCAGGCCTGGTATTCTACCCACTGTGCCACCAAGCTACCCTCTTTATCTATAGCTGAGAATCAACATATTTTGGGGGGTTTTGTTTTTGTCTTTTGGACTCATGTCTTATACTACTTGATATGATAGACTGCCTCTCAAACAGAAGTAAAAGATTTAAAATTATCTTTATCATTTAAAAAACATCAAGCAGGGAAAGCTTTGATGGCCCCAGCAGCCAACTTCACCTCTGTTCAAGGAGAAGCCTGGCTAGGGACAGAGACAGTCATCCCCAGTAAGCTAGACAGTAGGAAATAAGGGATTTGGCCAAGGGAAAAGGACAGTGGATTCAGAGAGAGAAGACTTGAGTTAATCCTTTTCACTGACTGAGCTGTGAAGTTGGTCAAGTCATAATTCTTTAGGACCTCAGTTTCTTCCTCTTTAAAATGATGTTGAATTAGATAATCTCTAAAATCCCACTCATCTCTAAATCCCATGAAACAAACACCTCCAGGTGGCCTTCCTTGGGCTCTTTCTGCTTCTTTGGTGATGTCGTGGGATAGCAAAAAAGGAGAGAGCATAAAGAATAACAACTTTTAGATCCTCTAGAAAGATCAGCTTAATCATTTGCACTCTAAATGTGAGATGTTAGGTGTATACTTGGTGCCGTGGCAGAGCTAGCAAGATCTGAGTTCAAATCTGGACTCAGATACTTATTAGCTGTGTCGCTCTTTACAAGTCACTTAGTCACTAACTGCCTCAGTTTCCTCAACTGTAAATTGGGGATAATAATAGTATCTACCTCTCAAGGCAAGGATGACACGAAGTAATATTTGTAATGTTGATATGAGATAATATTTGTAATACTGATATGAAATATTTTCTTAGCATAGTGACTGCTATATAGGGGGTGCTTAATAATGCTTTTTCCTTCCTGTTTCACCTTCACCAAGGTGCCTACTTATAAAGTAGAAAGCAGAAAGCAGAAAAAACTTTTTTGAACTTTACAACACATCTAAAGCGATGACAGTATTATGTCCCTATTAAAACAAACCGGAACACAAGGGATCAACTAGCAGGAGAAACAGCAGCTGAAAATATGTTCTCTAAATATGGAGAATATGGTGAATTTTGCAGTGATAATATTGTAAAGTACAAATCTTAAATCCTAAAATGCTATGTAAATGCTAGCTCTTATTATGTTTGTCAAATGACCATCAGGTTGGTATGCCGAACTACTAAAGCCAAAAGGAAATATTTCATGGGGTGTGTAATCATCTCACCTTGAAGTGCTTACTGATATAACATCAGCTCCCTTAGAGCAGGGCCTGGGAATTTTGTCTTTGAATCCCCCAGATCCTAGTACAATGACTGGCACATAGTAGGTGCTTAATAAATGCTTTTTGATTGATAAGTACCAACAAGAAAGACCACCATGGAGATAATTGCAGCTCACAAGTCACCATCTGTTGCAGAGAATAAAGAAGACGAGAAACTCTATGAAGAACTTGAGATCACATAAACCTGGTCAGCTTGTTTTATTCTTCTTTTTCTTGCGTGCATATATCAGATTATACCAGATTCCTTGATAGATGTAACTAGAGCTAACTTTATTCAACAATTCTCCAATCAACTATATTCAAGAGAGACCTAAGACAGGCATATATATGCTTAAAGAAAGGAAAGAAACAAGCATTTATCAAGCCCTTCCTATGTGCCAGTCACTGTGCTAAGCACTTTATAAATATTGTCCCACTTGAGCCTCATAACAACCCTGAGAGGTGTTGTTTGTGTGTCCCCATTTTACAGATGAGAAAACTGAGGCAAATATCTGTTAAATGACTTGCCCAGAGTCACATAGCTAGTAAGTGCCCAAAGCCAAATTTGAATTTAGGTTTTTCTGTGTCCAGGTCCACCACTCTATCTACTGAGCCACCTTGTTGCCTCTGTGTGGCAACTACAACTATCATGGAGGACATTTTGCACTGTCCAAACATCTCCCCTCTAGACAGGGAGGTTCTTCAAATATATTCCCGTGTCTACTAACATTGTGCTGCTTGAATCAAGCCTGAGAATACTATAAAACTTCCTCAATGGGATCCATACTCAAGGGATAGGAAAAACTAGTTTAACGAAGGCTGCATCTTGTCTGTTATTATGACGTGCAATTGGACGAACAGTCCATTGAGTTAGTTCATCAGTACATAGAGATTTAAAAGGAGCTACAGATGAACTAGAGTGAGTTGGGCCCTGATTTGCGCTTACACTGGATTACAGCTGGGAAAGCACACAGAGCTTTCAGTGATTCCAAACTGCTTCCAGACACAAAAATCCTATATTTAACTCTAATATTCTTCTGATATGGAATCAGGAGCTCTAATGAACCCAAAGTTAGAGATGACCCAAGAGGCCACAGAGATATGAATGGTGGGTATACAGAGAATACAGCATGTTGCCAAAGGCAGCTAATTTGTAAAGGGTAGCATGATTGATTGACCACAAGGCATTGAGGACACAAGATGGAACCATTACAATCCCTTTCTTAAAGGGGCATTCTGCTATGAAATGAAATTTACATAGAGAGAAAAACAACGGTCTTTGCTGCAAGCTTTCTTACCTTGCTGCCCATATTCTGTTTTATAACTTCCTGTACCAGCACATCAGCCAATGTCTTGAAGTCATTTACAAATTTCTTGTTCTTTTCTCCTTCTTTCTTTTCTTCTATTAGTAGTTGGAAAAGTGATTCTTGCTGCCTGCAGGCCCGGGCAATGTTTGCTGCCTTTTCAGAAACATAGACTAGTTCCCGGAGGATTTCTGACATTTCTGAAAGCTGTGCCTTTCTGCTTGTAGCGGAGGGTGAAAGCCACACAGTAACTCTAGACTGCTGTCTGCTGGAAAAATACAAGAATGTGAAAGAAAAGTAAGCTCAGAAAAGATGATGCAAAATTATGTATCACTGAAAGGGGGTCCCCTGGCACCACTACAATTAAGCATCTGTCTGTAACTGCAGCATAGCTGAAAAAGTGAAATTCCTGGGTCTATGGGGTAGAGACGATACTGGTTTCACTCAAATCGGTCATTCATACTTTTGAAGGATGTCTAAATGTTATTTTGTGGGCTGGTGTTTTAAAGGAGTGTTTAAAGGTTTTTTGTTGGTTTTTTTTTAATCCTATCTTAAGACAGTTGCATGTATGAAGATATGTTGAAAGCTTCACTAGGAGCAGCTAGGTGGTGCAGTGGATTGAGCACTGGCCCTGATTCAGGAGGACCTGAGTTCAAATCTGACCTCAGACACATAACACTTATTAGCTGTATGACCCTGGGCAAGTCACTTAACCCCAATTGCCTTGCAAAAAAAAAAAGATTTCAAATACTGAGGCAAAACTCAACTATTTAATAAACTCGATTGCCCAGAATATCATTGAGTTATAAAGTCATAGTCATGGAATTTTAGAGTTGAAAAAGACTTTAGAAAACAGGTAGTCTAGTTTGCTCAATATATAGATGAGAAAACTGATGCCCAGAGATACTGTGGTTTCCCCAATCTCAGTTGGTTGGAGGCAGCCAGTACTAGAATTTGCTGGACCTCAGTTTTCTGTTGCTTAGTTCATGCTAATGATTTTTCCACCATCCCACTAATTCTCAAGATATAAATAAATAACCAGTTCAAATAAATGTCACAAATGATGGAAGGGATGTGGGAAAATAGGTCTACTAAATGCACCGTTGGTGAGCTATGGACTAGTCCAACCATTCTGGACAGTTTTATGCCCTTTGACCCAGAAATACTGCTACTAGGTCTGTATCCCAAAGAGATCAAAGAAAAAGGAAATGGAAACATATGTACAGAAATATTTGTAGCAACTCCTTTTGTGGTGGCAAAGAATTGGAAACTGAGGGGCTACCAATCAATTTGGGAATGGCTGAACAAATTATGGTATATGACTATGATGGAATACTATTGTGCTATAAGAAAAAATGAAGGGGATGGTTTCAGAAAAACCTGTGAAAATTTATGTGAACTGATATAAAGTGAAATGAGCAGAACCAGAGAACAATCTACATAGTAATAGCAATATTGTAAAGATAATCAACTATGAAAGACAGTGATCACAACTCCGAAGGACTCATGATAAAAAATACTATCCACCTCCAGATTGAGAACTAATGGCCTCACAGTGCAGATTGAAGTATATTTTTCCCCTTCCTTTATTTTTCTTCTTTTTTGGGGAGGGGGTGGCAGGTGGGGGTGGAACACGGCTAATACAGAAATATGTTTTGCATGACTTCATGTGTATAATAGGTATTATAGTTCTCAATAGGTAGGGGAGGGGTGAAAGGAGGGCTAGAATTTGAAACTGAATATAAAAGTAAAATAAAAATGAAACAAAAAAGAAATTTCGATAAATATATTTCAATATAGTTCATTTCCTTTGTAATCCTACAAATTTTTTATGCACTTTAAATATTTAGAGAAGTACATAGGTTTCACCAGTCTCTTGCCAAAGGGGTCCATCATACAAAAAAGGTTTATAACTCCAGCTCTGGAAGATACATATGATTGCCTGTATTGAAGTGTATACTAGACTTTTGTTCCATTGTTAAGTTTCATTGGATAATGCAGTGGCCCTTAAATCTATAGTGTAAATGAAACAGTTCTCTCTTTTTTTTCTTTTTGTTTTTTGCTAGGCAATGGGGTTAAGTGACTTGCCCAGAGTCACGTAGTCAAGTGTCTGAGACCAGATTTGAACTCAGGTCCTCCTGATTCCAGGGCTGGTACTCTATCCACTGTGCCACCTCATCGCTCCCTAAACAGTTCTCTCTTGAGAAAAAAGGATCACATAAGGAAGACAAAGATGCTAGATCCCATTTTTACTATGCCTGTGCAAGAGACTATTTCCTGTCATTTCTTGGATTTCTACTGAAGGTATGACGTGACCAGGAATTCTCAGGAGAAAAAAAAACAGGAAAGAGGGCTAGGAACAATACTTAGGGTTTCAGATATTTACCAATGCACAGGTTATGGGGAACAAAATGAAAGTCAAAATTGTAACACAAAGAGATAAATACAATTTTACAGATATTACTGATGGCTTCTAGGTGACTTAGTTGTTAGAGCACTTGCAATCAGGAAGACCCAAGTTCAAATCCTGCCTCAGACATTTACTGGGTATGGGACTTTCTAAAGTCACAACCTCAGTTTCCTCATCTTTTGGGGGATATTCACAGCATCCACATTACAGGGTGGTGGTGAGGGATCAAATGAGAGAATATATGTAAAGAACTTGGCAAACCTTAAAGTGCTATATACATGTTAACTGTTTTATTGAGTCTTGGTGGAAAAGGACTTATGATTGCACTATACCAATGAAATCATGAAGAAGAAAGGGGCAGTATTGTCATGTCAAGCTACATACCCCTCTATAGAAATCTATAAACCCAAGGGTAGAAGCATGTCAGAGTGGATTTGTGTGAAGAGAAAGAGGAAAAATGTGTGATTTTGCTGTGGGAGTGCATTTACCTTCTACCTATATGAAGGGTTTTGAGTCACAAAAAATGGAAGAAACAAAGTATATGTTGTGTTCAATTACCTGGATACCAATTAGAAGCCTAATTATGCTAAAAGCACAGCAGCCTACAAATACAAGACTTACCCAGTTTATAATCTGCTCTCTCAGAAGCAAAGAAGGGAACTTTTTGTCTGGGCTTAGTTCTAACAAGAAAGTGCTGGTTTGTAAAGGGAAATTGAAAAGGATCTCAAAGGAAGGCATCATTATTGTCTTAGACCAGATTCAAGCAGCCCAACCAGATTAAAATGTAATTGGGAGATACTTAACAAAAGAAATAAAAGTATAATGCAATATAGATAATGTTAGTTTGTGGCTTACTAAATGGGGAGTAGGGTGGGCAGTGTAGTAGGGAGTATAGGTGGCACAGTGAATAGAGTGCTGGGCCTGGAGTCAGGAAGACTCAGCTTCCCGAGTTCAAATGTGACCTCAGACATTTACTAGCTGTGTGACTCTGCGCAAGTCACTTAACCCTGTTTGCCTCAGTTTCCTCATCTGTAAAATAAGCTGGAGAAGGAACTGGCAAACCACTGCAGTATCCTTACCAAGAAAATCCCAGCTGGGGTCATGATAAGTGGGACATGACTGAAAAACAATTAAACAACAAATTACTACGCAGCAGCAGGGATCTGTTTCTATTTGAGTTTGACACCAATAATCTTAGCCCTCCTAATAACTTAGGTGGGAAATGCTGAGCATAGTTCATACAGCCTATATACTTTATTTCAGAAAGGTCAGAAAAAAAAGACTTTCATGATCCACGTATGGCTAGGCATACCAATGGTTGATGAAGAGAAGTAGTTGAACTATTTAATAGCAAGATCCTGGAAGCCGACTAGGTGTCTGTAACCAGGAAGTGACTGAACAAGTTATGGTATATAAATGATTTAAATTTTTTTAATTAACCAAAACCTATTTTCTCTTTTTCTCACCTTCCTCCCCACCTCTACTGAAAAAACAAACAACAGAACTCTTGTAACAAATATGCATAGCCAAGAAAAATTCCAGCACTAGCTACATCCAAAAAATGTCTCATTTCTGTCAGGAGGCAGATGGCTTGTGCAGGTATTTTACAATTATCTCATTTGATCCTCACAACTACAAAAGATAGAGTGTTTTTATTATCCCCATTTTACAGTTGAGGAAACTGAAGCAGAGAGAGGTTAAGTGACTTGTCTAGGGTCACACAGCTAGCAAGTATCTGAGGCCACATCTGAATTCAGATCTTCTTGACTATAGGCCCAGTGATCTCTCAACTGTACTATTGATTTGGATTGATCAGAGCTCTGAAGTCTTTCGGCGTTTTTTATCTTTTACAGTTCTGTTGTTATTGTATAAATTATTCCTGGTTCTGCTCACTTCACACTGTATTATCCTTTTGATTCTTTCTTAACAGCACAGAAGTACTATATTACCTTCATACTATTACTTGTTTGACAGTTCCGCAGTTGATGGGCAACCCTTTAGTTTCCAGTTCTTTGTCATTACAAAAAGGACTGCTATAAATATTTTTATACATATAGCTCCTTTTTCTCTTTCTTTGATGCCCAATAGTAGTATTGCCTAGTCAAAGGGTATTCATGTTTAAGTTACATTTTGGACATAATTTCAAATTGCTTTCCAAAATAGTTATACCAATTCATAGATCTGTGTGATACATAAAAGCAATGAAAAATTAGTATGTCCTAAGAAAAGACCAATAGAAGAGGAATATACATTGAGGAATGTTTATCTGAAATGATACAGTATCAAGAAAGCTGATCACAAAGAACATATGGACTAACAATGTTGTTTTAAAGACAACAGCAGGGGCAGCTAGGTGGTGCAGTGGATAAAGTACTGGACCAAAAGTCAGGAGGACCTGAGTTTGTATCCAGCCTCAGACCAAACACTTGACACTTACTTAGTGACCCTTGGCAAGTCACTTAACCCTAATTGCCTAAATTAAAAAAAAATAAAGACAATAGCAACATGTCTTTTAAATACATAAAAATAGATTCAAAAGGTGACACAGAAATAAAAAAATTTTGGCAACTCCCCTGTTAGAGACAATATACATATTCTTTGTTTTGTGTTAAAGAACCTGTATATAACAAGCATATAGACACATGTCCAATCATCTATAATCCTTTCCACTTGGTTTCGTTTCTTTCTTTTGTTCTTGTTTCTGATTCTCTATCATTATACCTGTTAATGGAAGATAAAATAGAATTTTAAAAGAGAGACAGGAAATTCTAAACACAAATTTCTGACAACAATCACATACACAAAAAAGCCTGATGAGAAAAAAAGAGGGAAGCATCTAAAGAAGCCAATGGATCTAC